GATTAAAATTAACCCTGAACAGAGATGCTTGCAGCGAATCCTGTGGAAAAAAGAAAATGATGCACCTGTGAAAATCTACGAGCTTAATACCGTGACTTACGGTACAGTTAGTGCGCCATACTTAGCTATGAGAACTCTTAAACAATTGTCGATTGATGAAGGTCCAAAATTTCCATTAGCTGCGCCAGTCTTACTTAAAAACTTTTATATGGATGATGTGCTTAGTGGAGCGGAATCTTTTGAGTACAGCTAAGGAACTTAAATCTCAGTTAACTGCAATACTGAAGAGTGCAGGAATGACACTGCACAAGTGGTGCAGTAATCATGCTGAACTTGCGGAAGAAGATCACTCCTATTCCTTTCCTAATGAAGCAGAATCTACAACACTTGGAGTGGAGGTCTAGAAGAGACTGTTTCTGTTTTAGAGTGAAACTCGATAATGACATAGTTGTTACCAAACGACAAATATTGTCCACAATTGCAAGATTGTTTGACCCGATTGGTTTACTAAGGCCAATCATAAGTAAAGCCAAAATATTCCTCCAACGGTTGTGGTTGTTAAAGCTGAATTGGGATGAATCACTACCAAAAAATGAAGCTGATGAATGGAAGAAGTTCTCTACTGAACTGGAAGTTTTAAGTAAAATAGAAATTGAAAGGTTTATTCTTATTGCAGAAGTAGACTATGTGGAACTTCATGGATTTGCAGATGCCTCTGAGGTAGCATACGGAGCAACCATATATTGCAAGTGCCGTTCGAGAGATGGTGAAGTGAAGACAAGACTAGTGACCAGTAAATCCAGAGTCTCGCCTATTAAACGAGTTACTATTCCGAGACTGGAGCTTTGTGCGGCAGTCCTACTTGCAAGGTTGATGGTTAGAGTAATATCTGCATTAGAGATTTCTGTGAACAACGTTTATCTGTGGAGTGACTCCATGATCGTGCTTTCATGGATACAAAGAGGAGCCTTACCAGTTGAAGAAACTTTTGTTGCAAATCGAGTGGGCAACAATTCAAGAGTTGACTAATGGTCATCAATGGCGTCATGTGTCATCAAAGGAGAATCCGAGTGACCTTATATCCCGAGGTTTGAATCCCCAGTAAACTTCTACAAAATGATATGTGGTGGAAAAGGCCCTCTGTTCCTGAGATAACGACGAGTACTATCCAAATAAGAGAGATTTCCGGTGGAAGTCATTGTGAAGGACTTTCCAGACGAATTTAAAATCCTTAGTGACTCTCTAATATTTTTCTTAATGTGAAAGCTAACCCTTTCATTGAGGATTTCTTAAATTTAAGTAACAATTACACTAAAATTATTCCGTGTTTTAAGTTTTAGTTTTTAGGTTTGTAAACAACTGCAAAAGGGAAGGATAAGGTTTCAGGTCCTCTTCAGAGCTCAGAATTAAAAATGAGCTGAACTTAAACTGATTAAGCTAATTCAAGATAGTGAATTTAAAAAAGAAATCTCAAGCCTTGAAAAGGAGGGTAAGGTACCTCCAGATAGCAAGGTAAGAAGGTGTTTTTCCATTTTTAGATCAATATGGGAATTTTAAGAGTTGGAGGCAGATTAGCTAATTGTAAGTTGAATTTTGATAGAAAATTTCCTATAATCTTACCAAAGAATCATAAGTTGACTAATCTAATTATTGTGGATGTTTCATAAGAAATACATGCATATTGGTCCACAAGGCTTACTGTCTATTGTTAGACAAGGGTTTTGGGCCCTTAAACGGGCGCAACACTTGTAGAAAAATAGTACATGAGTGTGTCGTATGTTTCAAAGCAAAACCAGTGCCCTGTCAACAACTTATGGGTCAACTCCCTCAAGAAAGAGTCAGCCCGAATTTTCCATTCAATTGTGTTGGAGTTGAATTTTTTGGTCCTTATTTTATAAAATACCTACATCAGAGAAAAGGTCGCCTTAACAAGGTGTATGTGTGCATTTTCGTTTGTTTTGTTACCAAAGCTTGTCATCTTGAGTTGGTAACAGACCTGTCTAGTCAAGCATTTATTGCAACCTTAAAGCGTTTTTTCAGCAGGAGAGGCAAGTGTGCACACATATTTTCAGATAACGCAACCAATTTTGTTGGTAGCAACGCAGAATTAAAGAAATTGAATAAGCTAGTCAGCAAACCAGATGATGAATTAGGTAATTATTTATCGAGTGAGAGTATTGATTGGTCGTTCATTCCCCCTAGAGCTCCCAATCATGGAGGTCTTTGGGAGGCAGGTGTCAAATCTGTTAAGTTTCATTTGAAACGCGTAGTAGGCAATTTGAAACTAACCTATGAGGAGTTTCTTACAGTAATTGCTCAAATTGAAGGCATTTTGAATTCTAGGCCCTTGCAACCTTTATCATCCGAACCAGAGGATTTTGATATCTTGACACCAGGCCACTTCCTGATAGGCAGTGGGTGTTTTCGTGGTTTTCCCCATGTGTAACGTGTATACGAGCCAGTTTCCCTTAGAAAGTCCTCCACGAAAGGCATCCCTCCTCTTAGGCAGATAGCCCTAGTGTGCTTTGCCATAATTAAATACACCGTTGAAATACACCACCTGATAGGCAGACCTATCACGGCTATTGCAGAACCTAATATTTTAAACGTTAACGATAATAGATTAAAGAGCTGGCAAAAATTGACTAAAATAGTACAAACAATTTGGAAGTATTGGAGAAATAACTATTTGAGTGCAATGCAAGGAAGAACTAAATGGTTCTTTGAAAAAGACAATGTCAAGGTTGGAACTATGGTAATTTTAAAGACTGATAATGTTCCTGTATGTAACTGGCCTCTTGGCAGAATCGTAGAGATATTTTTAGGTAAAGACAATAAGGTTAGAGTTGTTGCAGTGAAAATGAAAAGCGGGTATTTTTAAGAGATCAATTAATAAAATTTGTCTTTTTCCTATGCCAAATTAAACAAAAAGTATATTTGTAATTATTTATCATATTTTCTTATTATAGTAGTTTGATTTTTTGATTTATTATTTGATGTTTATAATTATTTACCCGTATTTCGTATTCTCACTCTGTGTAATTTTTTATTGTAAGATTTAATTTTGAATGATTACATCATGTCAAGGCGGGCGGTATGTTGCGCCTGCGCGCGCATTTCATAACTAGCGTCGGCGCATGCGTCTTGAGCTCTTGGAGTTCGTGACATGAGATTGTGAGCGAAGAGCGTGTGAGAGAATTCGTGGCTTCGAGTGGCCATGAACTATGTAAATTAATGAGAATTAAAGCGAGATATAATACAGTCCATTGTTCCTGAGTTTACTGAATTATAGTGTAGTGCCTGTGCAAAACAGTCACAGTATTAAGAAAATCTTGCAGCACCTTGCAGATTTTTGGTTAAATTGTTTGAATTTACAGTAGTTTGAAGAAAGCTTGTATTTAAGCTAAATTCAGGTGACTGGTAAATTTTGCATTGCATATTTTAAATCTGACCTTCACAAGTGGTCAGGTAGAATAAATTATAAATTTTCTTATCTCTGTATGTTTATTAGAAATTCTTGTGATTAAAATTTATTCATAAATTATATGTGATATCTTGTAGTTGATGGTAATGGAGTTAACTAAATTAAACCCAGGTCGGGTGTTGGTTCAGTCAAATATGGAGGAATATATTATATAGAACCCTTCTATATAGGTTCCATAGAATGGGAAAAAGTTAAAACCAACAATAAACATTTGCATAAAAACCTTAAAATCATAGAAATTACAGCCATTTCTATAAATTCATGTTATAATAGGGAACTACCTTTCTATCTCCCACAAATCTGGATATCAATAGTACTGCAACCCTATGTGAAACTGCAAAAAATGCAGTAAAAGAAGATGAACATCAGGTTATTCATTTGAATTCTGTATGATGAAATAGATCGGCCAACTGAAAAAACTTTCACTTTAGTGCAACGTCAAATAGTTTAACATGTGTAACAATATTATTTTAATACTATAAGTACCATTCAAATTTCAGGTTCGGTTTCCAGTTTTTTTTTAATAAAAGCAGGTATTGACACAAAACTTACATTAGCAAAGTAAAGTAACATAAAAACCTCCAGAAATAAATAGCATTTATTTTTCTCTTGCACTTTCTAACTCCTTATTGCAGAAAATATGAAATGAAATGCTCTATATGCATTTCATGCAAACAAATACATTAAAGCCTACAAAATGAAAATACCTGTGTGGATATTGGATTCTTAAAGTATTTTGAAAAGAAATGGATAAAATAAATACTTACACATATGAAATGAAACATACAAAGAGAACAAGCATTAAAATGAATCAAGAGAGAAGAGAAAGCAAAACTTAAAATTAGGCAAAACAGAAAGTGCTTGGTACAGATTTTAATCAGAGTTCCCTTCCCCTCTTGACAAAACAGAAAGATTGGATTTGATAAAGTTTTTTTTTTTTTTTTTTTTTTTTTTTTTTAATTAAGATCTATGACAAGTTGCTATGCTGTTTTACTTAATTTTAAATATTAAAAGGGTTCTAGTGTAGAATTGAGTGCCCCTTCGATTGGAGACAATTTTTAAAAATTTTGGCGATGAAACCTCACTTCTGGTTACCACGATAGTTTTAACTTTGTTTTAGCTTCCCGATTTTATTTAAATGAAAATAGATTGATGCGTTACATGGACATATTTAAGGCAGTGTACAATGCCTAGTTTGTGCAGTTCTAGGATGTTTTTTTAAGTAAAAACAGATCAATGTGTACATGGACACAGATCTTGTGCAATTCTTTGACTTCTTATTTTGGTTTTGTGTAGCAGCCATCTTGAAATTGTGCCTCTCTGGTGTCAAAAAAGAATCGCCAATAAACAAGGGGCACCCAATTGCAAACTTTTACCATTAAAAGAATGTCAATTATTTATTTCTTTTTTATTTATTCAGATACATATTTGAATTTTTATCTCTAATTTTGTGTGGCTTTAATATGCTTTCAAGAAACATAATTTTAATCACCATACACATATTTTAAGATCTTACCTCGTGTGGCTTCGATGTGCGCAACCCATGCACCAGGGTCTATTGGACGAACTGGCTCTGTGCGAGGAATAGTGAAATAGCCAGTTGGGTTTGGATCCCAACATTTTGCAACCACCAGTTTAATTGGACTAAAATTTGAATTCATAAAATTAATTCAGCAAATAGCAATAACTGTTTCACACTTCATACAATAATTTAGTAATACAGAAGGAAAAAAATGAATTTATAATATTTTAGCTAACAAAGCTAATGCAATTAATATTTCTGTGTAAAGATACCTTCCAAAAAAGTTTTTATTTTCCAGTACATATATCTTCAGGGGCTTGTCAAGAACCAACTAATATTTGGAATACAGCCGTTAAATAATGAGACAGCAACCCCTTATTTAGCATTGAATAGCACATTCATGGTAAGTTAATATGAATTACTGGAAGCAGAGGGAAAGGATGCAACTTCTACTTGTAGAAAATCCACGCAGAACATTAACCTAGAATTTATTGCAAGTATGAAAAAATTCTAAAAGTCTGAAACTTTTACTGAAATTATATGGCAATAATGTTATATTACATGCACGTGTACTTGAAAAATACTAACAATTTACCAAAAGAAAATGAAACAACAAAAAAGTAAACAAATTAAGAGGATGAATGACCAGCTTGCTTGCTACAGGAAAAATCAATCAAAGGATTAAAAAAACTATGAAAATGTTCACAACAATCACTGATTTAACATTTAGATGAAGAAGACATGATGCACAGTTACAAAGAGATTGCACAACAAAGCTTATGCAGCCAATTGTACACGTAAAAAGTCAGTGGTAAAACAGCAGTCTCCCAAAATTTCAGACAGGAATACAAAAGATGTCCGGAAATGCATTTGCATTCACATCACTGAATAGGATTTGCTAAGAAAAGGATCATCATATACAACAAAATAAAGATTTTTCAGTACAAACTTGAGAGAATACACCAGGAAACTTTCACATTATTGAAAGAAAAAGAAGAATAAATTAAAAGTGATAGCAATGTTAAGACATTTTCTTTCACATTAATGGCTTGGTTATACTAAAATGCGTACCTCCAAGTAAAACAAGGAATTAGCAGAATCACCTCAAAATTCTGACCAAATTAAACCATAAGTGAAGAAGAAAAGCTTTGTTGTGAAAGAACATTGTGCAGAATCTTCACCATGACAATATACCAAATCTCAGTTACTGGGTCATCTTATCCACCATGTGATTTTGGCCTGTTTTTCTATATTACCACACTGAGTATCATGTGGCTTTTAGTTTTTTTTTTTTTACCGCATTAAAAGAAATGCATTTTTAGGCTGTAATTAAGATGAAATGATGGCACTACTTAAAAATCTCATACACGAAAACGAGTGTAAATATAATTACTATTGTTTCCAGCAATGGAAAATTCATGTGCTATGTAGTGTAGATAAAAAGAGAATAGTTTAAAGACAACAGCTACAGGCAAGCTTCAAAGAACAATATACTATTCATTTCATCTTATTTATTTAACACAGAGTTCATACACATGGAAATTAAGTACTTTTAAGAAAAATTTACCAAAAAAAATTAAGGACCTATCAGAAAACGGGTTATAGAGACATTTAGGTTATTTTGAAGCTGGAGAGATGAAAAATGAGCAATGCTCTTGCCGGGACTCGAACCATGGACCTCTCGAATACGCGACAAGTGTGCTCACCACTACACCACGAAGGCATGCTAAGGCGGGAGAAATACCTTATATACCTCCCTTTTAAAGGACGAATGGAAATTAGGGCAACCAATCACCAAATCCTGGTGGTAGGCGCCACTGTAGAAACATTGGGTTATTTCAATGGCAAGAGATAAGAAAAATGTGCAATGCCCTCAACGGGACTTGAACCATGGACCTCTTGAATAGTACACCACGAAGGCATGCTAAGAAGGCAGGAAAAATAACTTATTGGGTAAATATCAGCTTGAAGAAATTCAAGTAATTATCTATGCCCAAACTTATTTTTGTAATATCACTCTATGAACAAAACAGATCTGTATGCAGCATGCATTATTATTACAAAAAATTCAATATTTACCATAATTATACAACAAATACGAGAATAAACTCCACTTCATAAAATTTATAACATTACCGGCATTAAATTACAAAACTTCTTCAAACATTTATATTTAAAACTTACAATAATTCCACATATTTTAATGAAGATTTTATTTAAATTTTAATTTTTTTAAATTTTATTTTAGTTAGCTTTATGTTGATTCTTTCTTTTACGCCTCCTTTTGTCATGTACTCACTCAGTGTAGAGGTTTATGCAGATTTTATGTATTATTATTTAGATTCTGATATATAATGATAATTTTTTTAATTTAAAACAAAATGATCTCAATATTATTTCCATGCAATATGCTGCTGAAAAATTATTCATTTATAGATAAAAAGTGAGAAATTTAGAACCAAATTCACAAAGACATGAAAGAAATAAAATTCAATGTCAGTGAAATTCAAAATTCCCATAAATATGCAAAAAATTAACCTACTGTCACCAAAACAGAAAAACTCTCGTAAACTACAGGTATGTGAAATACAAAAAATACGTATTTACCATTTTTGTACATATTTTAAAATTTATTATTTGTTTAGTTTGGTTTATTTATTATACACATTACACATGGGGAGAACCACGAAAACGTCCATGCAGCCAGCCCGTTCGTTCGCCTTTATTATTTGTTTCTTTTTATTAAAAATATGTATCATTTATTATTTTCATATATATCTTATATCAACTATTGTTAAATTTTTTGTATTTGCATATCTGTAGTTTGCAATTTTTCTGTTTAGGTGACAATAGGTTGATTTTTTACATATTTATGGAAATTTTTGATTTTACCGATAATGAATTTCATTTCTTTCATGTCTGTGAATTTGGTTCTAAATTTCTTACTTTTAGTGGGTGTTTAAATATATATATACATATTTTAAAAATCACTATTAAGTCAGTTTGACTACCCCCTCCCACTCACATGCCCCCCCCAAAAAAAGAGCTGGAGGTATTTAAGGCAGTCCAAATATAGTTCATCATGTACCGTAGAAGCGAAATCAACAAGTGCAAGATAAGACTTATTCATTCCCTTATTAAACACAAAAGCCTAGCCAGGCCAACATCAACTTAGTTTGTGATATACACTGAAGTGACAAAAGTCATGGGACAGCAATATGCAAATATCTGTATCTGTATATTGGCAGTAATATCGCGTAGGAAATGTATAAATGCGAAGTGCTTTGGCAGGGCTTTCATTTGTGTTCAAGTTATTCATGTTCAAGTTATTCAGGCTTTGACGTGATTATGGCCGCACGACGAGAATTAACAGACTTTGAACGCTGAATGGTGGTTGAAGCTAGACGCATGGGTCATTCCATTTCGGATATCGTTAGGGAATTCAACATTCCGAGATCCACAGTGTCAAGAGTGTGTCGAGTATCTAATTTCAGGTATAACATCCCACCATGGACAGCGCAGTGCCGACCACCTGCACTTAACGTCCGAGACCAGCGACGTCTGCGTAGAGTTGTCAATGTTCACAGACAAGCAACACTGCGTCAAATAACCGCAGAAATCAATGTGGGACGTACGAGGGACGTGTCCGATAGGCCAGTGCGGCGAAATTTGTCTTCCTTTGGCTATGCCAGCAGAAGACCGACTCGAGTGCCTTTACTGACAGCACGACATTGCCTGCAGTGACATTCGTGGGCTTGTGAGCATATCGGTTGGTCCCTAAACGAATGGAAAACTGTGGCTTGGTCAAATGAGTCACGATTTCAGTTGGTAAAAGCTGATGGTAGGGTTCGAGTGTGGCGCAGACCCCACGAAGCCATGGACCCAAGTTGTCAACAAGGCACTGTTCAAGCTGGTGGTGGTTCTATAATGGTCTGGGCTGTTTTTACATGGCATGGACTCGGTCCTCTGATGCAACTGAACCGATCATTGACTGGAAATGGATACCTTCAGCTACTTGGAGATCACTTACAGCCATTCATGGACTTCACGTACTCAAACAACGATGGGATTTTTATGGATGACAATGCGCCATGTCACCGGGCCACAATTGTTCGCGATTGGTTAGAAGAACATTCTGGACAATTCCAGCGAATGATCTGGCCACCTAGATCGGCCGACATGAATCCCATCGAACATTTATGGGACATCAGAGAGGTCAGTTCGTGCCCAAAACCCTGCACAGTCAACACTTTCGTAATTATGGATGCCTATAGAGACAGCATGGCTCAATATTCCTGCAGGGGACTTCACGATCACGACTTGTTGGGTCCATGCCACGTCGAGTTGCTGCACTTTGCCGGGCAAAAGGAGGACCGACAAAATATTAGGTAGGAGGTATCCCATGACTTTTGTCACTTCAGTGTAAAACAGCCAAAATGAATGTTACTCATGAATACCAGAGAAAATACATAATATGTTTTCTGAGGAAAGATTCTTATGAAAAACAACAACAGCATGTACAATCAAATTTAATTTTTAACACAGCTGTTACTATATAATATATTGTTTACAAACATGAAATAAAAAAATAATCAAATAAAAGAAGATGGAAAAAAATATGAGAGAGAATCAAGAACTTCATAAGACAAGAAACACACATATTAAAGAAGATCAAGAAGTTCATAAAAAAAAACTTGCTGAAAGATTACTTTATTATCACAACTTTTCGAAGTAAACACCTGAAATTATATTTCTGCTTAGTTTCTAGATAACTACTTACATACTGCTTAAGCTATACATGTATGGCTAAAATTGACTGGAAAGGAAGGAGCTAAACATGTTATAGCAGACAAATAGGAAAATTTACCCGGGTTTTTGCACAGCTTCTCGCAGGACTCTCACTGCATCATCATTGCTCATGTTTTCAAAATTTATGTCATTAACTTGTAAAATCATATCACCAGGTTCTATCCTACCATCTAAGGCAACAGCTCCTCTATAATTATAATTAAAGACTTTTTTTACAATGAAAATACGATGAGAAAAAGACTAATTATTTAAGATTAAAAATATTCACAGAGTAAAAAAAAAAAAAAAAAGTATATAACAAGTATAATAATCAATTATTTAAAAAAAAAGAGTATATAATTAGTATAATAATAAAAGCAAATTAGATTATACAGCCTTAAAACACATTCATATAAACTGGAACAGTTAATAACATAAATTTAAATGCAGCACTTTCTGTGTTGATTTATAAAAAAAAAAAAAAAAAAAAAAATTACCCCCTATAAAAGCACTAATCGAAAAGTAAATAAATTAATGACTTACACAGAGGGTAATAAAAATGTATTTCATGATTTCAGTTATTATTGGAGAAGTTAAAACAACAAGAATCAGCATAATATTCATAAATTTGGAGGACTAGTTTCAAAAGTTTAAATATAGAACTTTCATCTTCAGCTGCAGAAGTGCAAATGCTATTCATGACACAGTTGTATTTGTATTTCCCAACTCAATTTCTCTGTTCACAACTCAATTTCTCTGTTCTTACAAACTAAACACATTTTATTCAACACATGAAATGTGCTGTAATATGTACTGCATTATTAATAACTCTCAGGGAGAACTAATTACATAAATATAAATATAAACTGAACTAAAAAATACTGAATACAGGAAGTACTTTTGAAATATCAGGGTAAAAATTTAGATCAGAAACTTAACATACATGCAACAATACTTCAGGATGAATAAACTAATGTTTATATATTTACATATACGGCAATGGCTTGTTCAAAGAAACAAATTGGCAGGATAATCAAGCGAGGTGATGGAGCTTCCACTTTCATGCTCACCTACACGAACCTACACCTGGTGAATGAAAACTTAGCTTGCTGCTCTGATTTCAGAAGAGCTTTTTGTACTGTCAAGGATGATGGGAATTGATCAGATTTTAGTGCTAACAAGCTTTTGGAAAAAGTGCACAATTTAATTAAATGAGGTTAGCTATTACATGCAAGATGCTTATTTTTCTGGTATGTTTCTTGGTTTCACATGAAAGTAGATGTTTGGGGATATCTAGTCCTTTCTTTCACTTTCATCTAAGAATCTACATTTTCAGAACAAAAAGTACCAAAAGAACTTACACTCCCTGAAAAATTACATGATTTTCTTTTTGGGATTTTAATTTTCTCTTTCAGTGCTTTTTATTTCTAGCTTATTTAAAGTATTTTCAGTTGGCTTTTGCACAGCTTTTACCTCTAAATTTGGGGTTGTCTAATTCTTTTGTATATTTAAAATAGTTTGGATACCTATGAGTTTCAGCTATTTGCTGCTATGACAAAATTTCACATGGCTGCTCCTCTGCCACTTGCTTTCCTATGCAAAATAATTTCAGTTATTTTGAACAATCTGTATTTCCTCATCTGATTTCCATTTTGGCATAGTCAAAAAAATGCTGTGTGCTCCCCTTTATGGTTTACACACAGTAGCTGCACAGTACAATTTTCACTGTCATGGACTTCCACAAAAAATGTGTACATAAGAGTTTGCCATGATAGGATAGCTTCTAATGGCCACAACGCCGCAAAAATTTGAAATGCAACATCTTACAAAGTAAACTACCTAGCTTTAATACTTTTCAGAAGATCAAGCAAGTGGAAAGTCAGAAGTTACATGTTTTATATTCATAAACTAATTTTCGTTGCACATATTGATCTGCCTAGCAGTGCAAACATTTTCGTCAGGCAGCTCTGATACGATATCCTCTTCTGATACGAAGAAGTTGATCTCAGAAATAACATCATGATTGTAATTCAGTGATCTGTTATGCAAAACTAATGTTTCCTTAATCCAAGCGGGTAACAAATTGATTTGAAGAGACAGTTTTTATTAGCATACTGGAAAAATATGTCTGCTTTATTTATTTGGCTTCATGACAAAAGATCTTTTGTATCTGTGTATTAGGTATAGTGACATTTTTTTAAATCACCTGTGGTGTTGTTGAAGACAAGGAAGCATGGTGGAATTTTTCTTTATTGACATTTATGTTTACCTTTACTTTTTTTTTAAATTAAGACGCAATATGATTTTCTACCTTGGTTTGAATTTTTAGGAAAAAATAAAAGATCTGGACCCACTGATTCCATTCACCATAAAACCCAAAAAGGGAAAACAGATTCCTGTATCAGAGCTAGTCTCACAATCAGCTCTCTTGAAAGCAGGAACTTAAGCAAGGCACTAACGACACCGGCACTAAGGCACTAACACTAAAGACAAGTGACCGGCCAATTCACATTAGCTGGGACAGCCAATGTGTTGGTTACAGTTCCTCTACCTTCAACTAAAAAAGATTTTCCTTTCCAGACTTAGAGGTCTCCATACATGGCAAATGTGTTGACAGTTTTCTCCTCATAAGTAGACAGAGACAAAAGTTCTGTAACAGTATCTCACTTTGAACCCAGATCTCCAACAAGGAAACCATAAGGAAGAAAGGGAAAATTATACGCTAATAAAAGAGGCAAAATAAAAAAAAAAGAGCTAAAGTAAGAAAATAAAAGAGCTTTTTGTGACTACTCACTAAATGATCCCCCGAGGGAATCTGTATGGATGAAAATATTATTTCTTAAGTTCTATAACGTACTGAAATGTAAAATGCTTATTAGAAAATAAATCATTCGTCACAGTATTTTATTAAAGAATGGTCATTAAATATCAATAATGTCTATCATATCTGATAATAAACAAATTGCAGAGAAAATCTGAGGAGAAATTTATGATTACTTACATTAAGAGAAAAAAATTATGCTCACCCTTTCATTATTGAACCAACATAAATACCACCATCTCCTCCTTTATTTGATTGTCCAACTATACTAATGCCTAGGAAGTTCACAGTATCTGCAAAATTTTACATAACAGAGAATTTACCATTGCTACATATACATAAGTATACAACATAATGTGTTCGCTCCAAATATTAAATTCACAACTATAAATCAATCATAACTATCATATCATACACGAGATTAAATTTGTTAGATGGAAATTATTACATAAAGATACAGACAAGAAAACGCAAAATGCTATTTAAAATCAAGATGCAATATATGTATTATGATTACAAAGGAAAATTTTGAAAGTACAGATAATTAGCAAATATCACAAACAGAAAAACAATAAATTCCGGATTTATGAATGTGTGTTATTACCGGATTATTAAAATTATAAACTGCTTTCTTATAACTGAAGATAGGCAAGTAACCTCAAGAAGTAATAAGCTACAAGCATTCAGTCGCTTTAAAGTTTAAAAGCATATAAAAAATATTTTTGGGTGAGAAGTATCAATATTCTTTGAGAATAGCTATTAAGAAGGAATATCTTAAGCACCAAAAATAAAATACCCTCTTGTAGTATTAAATTGCATCCGTTTTAATGATGTCACACAAATCTAAAACTTCATGCAATAACATTTAAAAGGTAAGAAATGCATGCTTAAAAATATTTGAACTGAATAAAATAAAACAAAAATCAGCAAAAATACAGAGATTCAAAACCAATTTAAATTTTTTTCCCCACATAAAAATAAAAAGCATAAAAAGTCCATACCTAAGTTCAATGTAACTGTAATTATATTCAATGACATAGTAGAATCTGTGATGCTGCTGATTGAAGACGTCTATATAAATAAAATAAGAAAATACACACAAAATTATATTCTAAAAATTGAAAAATATTGTCATAAAGTGCGAAATTTTTTAACAGTAACCTTAAATATATGAAGTTAGACAAAAGCATTATGTATGGCAAAGCAAAGAACTATCTAACAGAATAGATGCTTGAGCTGGATCTTTCTGAAAGAAAGCAGTTTACACTCGCATTATGCATCAGGAAAACCACAAAAATTATACGCAGACAGCCACTTGTTGGAAACAGAATCTGCAATACAGTATGAGTGTTTTGTGGCTTTAATAATTCAGCCATTTATGGATAAAATTAGTGAAATTTGTTTATAATATAATTTTTTAAAAAAAAATAACATTAAATCTAAAATGTACCAAGCAATCAATTTACATTCCCACCATGGCTATTCTGTTATACGTCTCTTATGAATATAAAAGCACTACTTCAACAAATATACCTTCTTATTATGTAAACTTATTAATTGGCTAAGCAACATTCGTAGTAATCTTCATGAACAGTCAACATTCATCTATAAACATAACAGATAATAAAATAACAAACCTAAATAATTTTGAATATGAAATTACTCTTACGAAATAATTATACAACACAACTGAAACAAATTTAGCAATACTAAACAGAAAAGACCTTTCATAATGTAGTCATATTGTATTTAAAAATAGCTTTTAGATCAGCTTACTGAAAGAAGAGCAACAAGAAATAAAGTTTGAAGTAATAATAAGAAAATATATATAGGCTGTGCAGTAAGTAATAAGACTAATTTTACTGCTGCGAAACTACTCATCGAAATGTTAATTTCTGTGGCATAAAAAAGTTTGTTGTCTGTATTAACAAAAGATACCGACAAATGGCGTGTACAGGCTCATGTTCCTGAGTATCACGTGATTGAACTAAAGCGTGTTTGTGGGCACTCAGCAAAAATCAGCATCGGAGACCTTGACATGATAGATGAAGCCTTCAACGATGAAGCGTTACGAAGGCAAGTGTTTTTCGCTGGCATAAAGCTTTTAAGGAAGGAAAGCAAAATATGGAAGATACTGAACGTGAGGAACAACCTTCAATGTCTGTCACAGAGATATTAATTAACACAGCTGTGGTTATCATTAAAGAGGACTGCAGAATTACAGTATGTCAGGTGTATGCTCTCTTGAATATTTCTGTAGGAAGTGTTCATTCAATCATGGCAGAACATTTGCAACTGAAACGTGTTTGTGCACGATGCATTCTGAAATTGTTGACACCTGAGCAAATGCAGCATAGAAAGGATGTGTGCTCAGAATGCAAAGAAAGACTAGAACAAGAAGGTGACAATTTCTTAAAACACATCATCACAGCAGACGAAGCTTGGTTGTATCACTATGACCCAACCATGAAACAACAAAGTAGTAGTGAATGGAAGCATCAGTCTTCGCCTACTCCCAAGAAAGCAAAAACTGTAAACTCAGCTGGCAAAGTTATGACCATAATTTTTTTTTTTATTATGAAGAAATTGTGTATCAACACGCAGTTGAACCCGGTAATACCATAAGCAGCTCGTACTACACGAATGTCCTATGAGCAATGGTACAACACATTCAAAGGAAACGTCCATTGCTCCGAAATGGCTTCCTACTGCATCATGACAATGCCCGACCACATACTGCTTGTTGCATACAGGATGTTTTGGAGCAGAACAACGTAGAGATTTTACCGCACTCTCCATACAGTCCTGATCTCGCTCCATTCGATTTCTAGATGTTTCCTGAACTTATGAAACCATTACAAGGCAAATATTTTGCAAGCAACAAAGAATGTCTAAATGCTGCAGAGGCAGTTTTGAAAAAGCTCTCATAAAATGGACTTTTACATGTATTTCAGAAGTGGACAAAATGTTGGGATAAATGCATTGCATGCAGCGGTAGTTACTTTGAAAAAGACTACGTAAATATTGACGATTAAAGGTATTCTCTGTATTTTTTTATAGTTTTAGTCTTATTGAACAGCCCTTGTATAATAAATAAATAAATAAACACGCGGAAGTTAAATTCAGATATGCAAAACACCCCAACAGAACACAGAACTTAACATACATACAAAATATATTACATTAGAAAATGACTATTTCAATGCCTCTGCCAAAAAAATAAGGATAAGAATTTCCTTTTTACATAGATTATGGAAGCAAATTGGATTAGAGAGTTGAACTAGTATGGATTTTTTTTTAAATTTATTTATGGCAAAAATGATTGGACTGAATCAATCCTTTTTACATGCTTTATCATAATAAAATAATCTAATCTGCATGCCCAATACTTACAACCCCAATTTTACATACTTCTAATTCAATCTAACTAAAGTAAAATATTTCACAATTTTATAATGACACAGTCCAAATTCAATTGAATTATTTTATTATGGCAAAGGGTTAGAATGGCTTGTATTAATTAGACTGCTTTAAGAACCATATTGAATTTTATGGAAAAGCATAGAAAAAAGATTGAACTGACTTTGTTAGGTTTGTGCACATGAATCACATTGGATTGTTTAATCTAATAAAATATACTACGATTATCTACTTATGCAAAGGGGGACTAATGGAAACGGGACTGCATTTGTGCTGCATGCACAGAAAATTGATGAAACCAGATCTATCACCAAAACCAGAAGTTGGGGTCAGTCGCAGAACTTGTTAGCTTTAAGAACTTGGCTTTTTTCTTTTTTTTCAAAAGCATCATGTGCTAATACTAGATGCTGAAACATTGGCAGGAGGCTCAATTAAAAGCAATAAACAATTAAAAGGCTCATTAATACATACCATGAGTGGTGCGATATTTTTTTTATTTTTTAAGAGGTATACCGCATAATATTTCTAATTAATATACTGTATTATAACATACTCAACGATGGTTCAAATATAACCTGCTGTTTAATAATAAAGGCATATGCCAATTTAACACAGTACTACAGTTTGTCATACTGCATCTGCTGTGTTATGACAAACCTAGCATTTTAATTAGTTTAGATTTAACGTACTGTTGAATTATAATTTGTATTGCATAATATTATTTAGAAATGGATTTATTATGTCCTATGCTTTTGAAATTTGTATCTATTAAAATATATAATGTACCTGTTAAATTATTTTATTTTATTACACCTTAAAGGCAGAATTCTAATTAAAAATAATAAATTTTAAAAAAATTAAAAAGACAAATTACTTGCAAAGATCATTAGACACATTGCGTGGCAATAAATATACTAGCAATCAATTGTAGGCTATAAATTGCTTACGTGATAAAATTCCTGGTGATCAGTTGTAGGCGGTAAATTGCTCACAGTCATTTTTTCCTACATTCTGCTAGGCTATTAAGACTGACATGTACTCTTTTCCTCCCTTATTTCATAGGCTATCAAAACATTTATTCATATTCTATTTACAATCAATATCAGCTATAAAGAACATGGCTTATGAGGAATGAAGCCTTCCATCCTTTCCCATTTCCTATACACACATAATGCTATTTTAAACTGCTACAGCAAACTTCTAAGAGTATGAAAATCGAATAAAACAAACTATATGAATATCTTTGACTGGGGGGGGATATATTTTCCCCAAATTCTGCGATTTAGGGGGGAAAAACTACTAAACATCAAAATCATCCATGTTTAGGATATTAGGATCCATATTCAATCAGTTAGAGGAAAACACCTTTACATTAATTCCTTTTATCTTCAATACACTTTTCTTTCATATTCTAAATAAATACTGTGCAAGACAGATATGAAACACAAACAAGATGAGCTGTAAACAAAGTTTTTGCACTGAAGAGAAGGTGAACATTATTTGAAAATAATAAAATGTAAGCAGACAAATCAATATCTGCCACAAATACAGTTTATCCAAACTTATTGTTGGCAACATATGAAAAAAATCAAAACGTGATTATTTCTACTCACAGAAAAATTGTGGGTATGAGAAAAAAATTGAGAAAGGTAGATTAGAAGAATGTTGAAGAAGCATTAATAAAGTGGTTGACCATTCAAAGAAGTCGTAATTTGCCAATGTCTGAACAAATGTTTTGGACAAAGGACTATGAATTTGCCAGATATTTGGGAGAGATTGAAAAAGAATGAACAACAAATTTAATAACTGTGCAGCTAGCGGACTGATTAGCACATAGAACACTGTGCTAATGTTGCTGTCCTTCACATTCAGCTTGCAGCCAGTAAGCACTGGGAGAACAAACAGAGGACTTTTTTGGTTCACACTCTATTTCTCGCTTAGAATGCAACAATGATGCAGCCAATACACATGAGACGATTAGCTAGTAAACAGCCCCTAAAGTGTGCAGACGATTTGAGAATAGAAAATTTTATTTTGAAATTTAAACACAAAACAAAAATTTTATTTTATTTTTTTAAGTAGTTATTCCCCATGAGACTGAAAATGTTTGGACGAGAAGGAGATGGTGATTTATTGAGTGAATTATTTTTATCATCCAAATGTCAACATCGCCAAGTACTATGGTTGTCATTGTTGAATGATACTTCATTTTACCAGGCAATGGAACTTGATATTGACAGTTGTGGGATAAGTGCTAATGAAACCAGTAACCAAAATTAACAGTTTGACAGAAAACACAATCAGCCAAACATTATGCCTTTTACAAGTGCCTATGATGCCCCCCAAAAAAATAATAAACAATTTTTAATAATTTGAAATAAATTTTAAGAAACTGCATTTATTTTTTAACTTTGTTACCAATGGTCCCTAGAAGACTGCACTCAGTTTGTTAACCTCATGTCTTAAAACGGGATTACTGACTGCACAAAGGGTTTGGAAATGCTCAAACTATTTCTGGCCTCTCAGTTCAATTTATGTAAAGGGTATCCATATTTAATTCGGGGGAAAAAATGAAAACTACACCAGCAAAGAATTTAAACTCAATATACTAAGCCAATACTCTGCAGACTTTTCATGGTATTTTCTACTTTGTGATAATCACATTTGTAATAAAATGTAGCACAAGCAACTGCACACAATTTTTTCCCCAGTCAAAACGGCAGAATTTCGTGTATTTCCTGCCATACTGAAATAGACTCCTTTCATTTACTCACTGTAATTGTTCACAGCTCCTATAGAATTAATACATCCGTGACTTCAGAAATAAGATAAATATAAAACATTTTAAGATGGCTGGTCGACTTGAAATTAATAAGAGTCCAACGTACATGCATATTATTTATTGTTTAAAATAACAAACACTTTGAACTGAAAATGCTAGACAATTTTACTTATATATAGCTAAAAGTCATAACTGGATAGTGAAATTCTGCATGAGATACTGCAAGTAATATTTCAAAGAAATAAGTCTATTTCTCTAGAATGGCAAGCAACTGGACGGATAGAATAACTGCTCTATAGATTGAAATGACAAGGCTGCTAAATATTAGTTGCAAAAATAACACTAGATACTCTGCTCTACAGTAAGTTCATCAGAGAACATAATTTAAAGAATGCCAGTCTTAGCCTGTCCACTGGTTTGAAAACTTTCTGGAGAATGTTTTGTGGCTTATCACAAATATGAGCAGAGATCTTTCATGCAGTATTTGATGCAATCAAAACATTATCCAAATATCAGAAAAGAAAATTTAGCACTCTAAATACCTCATTAATAAATCTTTGAAAGGTGTGTTATGCAACCTAAACTCATGAAGTTAAATTCATATATACCATAAGGGGTTATAATGGCAGTTTTTGGCTTATCATTTTCATTTACAGGAATCTGAAAATACGCTTTATGCAAATCATATAATTCCTGATGGATTTCTGAACAATCTGGGATATAAAAAGAGAGCTTTCAATTAGAATATAAAGGCATATGTTACTCCAATAAAAATTCCAATTTATTAATTACTTATGCAAATCATGTATTTGCTGATGGATTTCTGAACAATCTGGGATATAAAAATAGAGCTTTCAATTAGAATACAAAGGCATAATTCAGAAGTAACAAAGGCATATGTTACTCCAATAAGTGATTCCTGTTTATTAATGAATGATAATACTTTTTCTCCTCTCATGTCTCATCAATTAAGATATTCAGTAGATGGATTGTCAGTATTGATTATAAATACAATTTTGCTGGCAAATTCATAGTCTTTTGTCCAAAGCATTTGTTCAGATATTGACAAATTACGAATTTTCAGAAAACAGCGAAAAAAAAGAAGCAACTTCTTTCTCTTTCCTTCAAGCTAATTATATAAGATAGAGAAATGGGAATGAGGCATACCTGGTTTCCAACAAAAATGGTTGTCTAACTGACAGCATGCAGAAAAAATGCTAAGTATACATTCAAAAGGTAGATGTAGATATATGTAGTATCAAGTTTTATTTTCTCAGTTATCTAAAATAAGATTTAAATCATTATGTTACTTTTACCTAATGATCAAATCTTGCTTTTCTTAAAAACAAAGAAATTATTACTTAACTTTTAACTTTAAAAGTATATGTACAAGCATATATGTATATAAGCTGCAAATCAGAACTCTCATGGTAAATATTATTGACTCTAATAACAGAACACATATGAGTATTGCTGTCTAAGATAAATGTGCTTGACCTCTGGTGAAGTGTTTATATGCATTATAGGGTGGTAACACAGTGAATGAGATGTGAATATATGTTATAATGTTCAACACTAGTGAATTCCAGAACCTTCTTCCAAAGGGTGTTTATTTGTTTATTTTGTTGCTGCAGTTTTGTAATTCAACAGGCTAATAATATACACTGAAAATAAAATAACTATCTGGTAAAATTAAAATGGGACCATTTTAAATTACAATTTAAAAACTTTGAACAAGATAATTTTTCCTTCTTTTTTAGAGGGGGAGGGAAGAGGAGCATGTCTTCAGTCCATAGAAAAAGAATTACAAAAGTTAAACGTGTGCATAAAGATGTTAAATTTTAATATTTTTTAGCCAAAAGATATACATACTCGACTCATAGGAGGCATACGATGCCGCCGTCGTCGTCGTCTGTGTCTTGGATGAATTCTAGAAACACTACTTTCTTCAGTAGTAGTAGAAATTCTGCAAATAAATACATAAATTCTCATCTAATTCAACAGCATTATTTTTTTATAAAATTTCTTACTAAAAATACTTTGCAATATTCATAAAAATTAAAATAAATCCAAAAAGAGTTAAAAAAACTGGTGGTAAAGACAAACTGCACTCTATGTACTTGAAATTGAGAAGATTAAACACAACTTCTACCTAAAAATTATTTTTCAATCCTCATAAATGAAAAAATCATATTCAGAAAGAAATTTACATCTCATTACTAGTTATTTATCTCAGCATTAAAATTTTATACTACTTTAAATAAAATCCTGAATCACTCAAATATTTAGACATAAAAAAATATTACAAGATATTAATTACCTTTAGACTAGAAATGAAATAATCATATTAATATACTCCAAACATTTTATATTGATTCTGAACATTTTATAGTGATTCTCGATTTTATAACATATTCTGAACATTTTGTGACGACTCTGAATTTTATAATATATTCTGAACATTTTATGCATTCTCCACTATATACACAATAACTTCAGTTCCCCCTCCCAAAAAGAAAAGATCACCTATTAATTATTCGCTAGCAATGTTAATAATTTAAAATTTTATTTCTTAATATTTACTTCTTATAAATTTTTTATTTCCTTTCAATAAAGCGAAACATTTAAAAAGCAGGAAACAGAATGAAAATCTCTATTCTCTATTTCAAATATAAATATTTTTATTTCAAAATGCCTTCCAATGAGAAAGATAAAGTTATCAATTTAAAGTTTCGCATATTACCCCACATACATAATAATGTTTAATTTACCTGCTAGTAGTTTCTTCTTCAGAGTCTAAAAAACTAGTACTTTCAATATCACTAGTCATCATAGAGGAAGACTCATAACCATGGCCACTTCTATGGCGGGATGAATGGATGTGAGGATGTGTTGGTTTTGCATGACCATTGATTCTAGTTGTTGGGCACCCACATGGTACTGCAAATTTGTCTTGTATTAAATACGAATTCTATTCAACAACAATTTTCAACCATATACATTAACAAGGCAACATTTATATTTTGGAGAACCACAGTCACATCATTACAAACTTTTCCCATCCTCAAGAAAAACAAAAATAAACTATACAATTACTCAAATTCATATACACATTTTTACAGTTAATTAAAATTGATTTTTTATTTAATAAAATAAAATTAATGCTGTAATACAGATATTTGCATTGACAAAAGTATAATAAAATCAAATTTAAATTTGTGAAAGTAATTTTTTTTTAGTTGAGGCTTTGGTTTTAGCAATTATATATATATAATGTCAATATAAATTAACGAAGTTCAATAGATCTAATTTAATGCATATTAATAATAGACCACTTATTTTATTGATCCAAGTTTCTTATTAAAAATGTTTTATTGACTTCATTCTCTTCTTGCATTTTAAAACTCAGCCAAATATTTTTAGAATTGCTTCTGCGTTGAGAAGAGTAAACTTTAGTCCCGCACTTATATATCAGCACATATTTTTAATAACAGTTTAAGTATTAAAAAGTACTTAATTTTGTGAATAAACTTTCTGTATGAATATCAGCCCCATAAGTTTGTTAAGTTTTGTCAATAATAGTCTGGAGAAACACTTATCTTAATTTATTCATTTATTTTAAAAAAAAAAAAAAAAAAGCAGATCTAACACTTCTAAGCTGCTTCATTGATTAATTTCTAAAATCAAAGAACTTTTGTAACCATTATTTCCAAAATTGTTGCATATTATATAAAAAGCACTGATAATGGGAGTCGTCTTCCATTTATTCAAGTGTATTCAGTTCTAAATTGTAAGCTTTCAACATGTTATTTTTTAATTCCTTTCCTCTTTTCTCATCATTTTTTTGTCTCATCTAACAGTAAATTTACTTAAAAGAGCAAAACTATTTCTTACATCTAAAATGAAACTAACTAAAGAATGTAATAAATTATTAGCTAATAATTTTATATCAGGTCTTTAAGAAGAAGATTTATTAATAAAATTTATTTGCAAGAAAATCTGGTTTTATATAACTGCTAAAATTCTGTTCTCAAATTAAAAAATTTTCACCTAATGATGAATTCTCTAACTCAAGAATCATTTTTAACAAGAGAAATGAAATTGTTCCAATAATGTCTCTCTAATTAGTTTATATTTGTATTTCAAGTCCAATGTAGTATAAGAGCATGTAGTATAAGGATCAGTATAAAAGCATTTCACTTACAAGGACAATTATTGAACTTTTTGATGGA